GAGTCAGGGCCCGGGCATGGGGAGGGAGGCTGACGCGGGGGGGGTGTTGGGGGGGGGCAGGATGTCGGAGACAGCCAAGGGGGTGTTGGATCCAGGAAGGGGAGCGAGGCCTGGGCCAGTTTTGGGTAATGGTGGTTACTTAGTGTCGGGGGGGGGGGGGGGATGTTGGGAGTACTTTGTGAGGTACGGGGTGGGAGAATGTCAGATCAGCTCCGGATAACGTCAGCCAGTCATTCTGGGCTGGGACGTGGAGATTTTGTGGGGGAGTGATGGGGACATTTTGGGGTGAAGGAATTCAGAAGATGGAGGACAGGAAGGTCCCTGTGTGTGTCTTGGATGTGAGCATGCGTGGAGCCGCGCCCCCCCCCCCGAGTTGTCAGGGTGATAGGGGACCATGGAGGCCAGAGGGAGGCCCAGATCTATGTCTGGAAACAAGAGGATTGAGAAACTGTTAGGTTTTTAAAAAGAGGTGGCCGAGTAAGAACTGCACCAGCACGCACGTGGTATTCAGGTAAGGGGTAGGTTTATTCAGTGGACCTGCTGGGACCAGGCAAGGTTGGCACTCCACGCGGCTGGCAAAAGGAAAAGAGGGCGGTCTGGCCGCGGTTTAGGCCTTATATAGGGTAGGGGGTGGGGAAGGGTGTGTCCAGGTAAAGGGAAGTGGGATCAGGTGGGAGAAAGGTGTGGCCACATCAGGTTAAGATGTGACCTCAGCGGATGCGGATGTGACCTCTTCCAGGTATCCCAGTTGCCTAGGTAACGCAGGTACTGGGCGAGGTCTGTTCGCAGTCCAGGAATGGACCTTACAGAAACAAGAGCTGAGATCTCTAAGTCAGTGGCTCACATATACCCTAGCTACTCAGAAGGCTGAGATCTGAGGATCATGGTTCAAAGCCAGCCCAGGCAGGGAAGTCTGTGAGATTATTATCTCCAATTAAAACCACTAGAAAACTGGAAGTGGCGCTGTGGCTCAAGTGGTAGAGCGCTCGCCTTGAGCTGAAGAGCTGAGGGACAGCACCCAGGTCCAGAGTTCAAGCCCCAGGATGATCCTACCTGGGGAAGGAGGGTGATTTTGTTTTTGTTTTGTTTTGGGGTCCAGTCATGGGGCCTGGGCGCTATCCCTCAGCTCTTCAGCTCAAGGCTAGCACTCTACCACTTGAGCCACAGCGCCACTTCCGGCTTTTTTCTTCTTGCTTATGTGGTGCTGAGGAATCGAACCCAGGGCCTCAGGCATGCAAGGCAAGCGCTCTGCCACTGAGCCACCTTCCCAGCCCCTGTTTTTTGTTTTTATATAAGCTGATAAATAAATAGTGGCAGAAAGGCGGGGAGAGGGGAGGGACAGTTCACCTCAGAAAGAGAGCTCCCCAACTCCTCCCAGGCTTCTTGTCTACCTACAAACATCCCAGTGTCCTGTCCTGTCCCCCCCCCCCCCCACCTGACCCTGGTGACAAATAGCCGTAGGTGAACCTGGGACACTTTGTGAAATTCCATCAGAGAGGGAAAATGGAATATTATGCAGCCATTAACGGGAGCACAGGCCACAGCTAAATCTTCCAAGTTGATGGTGTGCGCACGAGAGAAAGAGGACATCAGCTTACAGGATAGAGACTAGTGTGGCATCATTTTTTCTAGAGAGCTTGAAACATGGAAGGTGGCATGTTTTTTTTCTGGGCACAACACTACATAAGCTCCAGTGTTCAAGCCCAGTACCAGCATTCGAGAGGAGAGAGAGAGAGAGAGAGCGCATTCCTCATGCAAGTCTCCTTGGAGACTGAAGCATCAGGCCCTGTTCTACATGAAACTCACGATTCTCCTGTCTACCTCTTGAGTGCTGGGATTACAGTGATGCACCACTATGCCCGGCTTTCTAATGCTGCTGAAACCTCAGAAGGAGAAAAAGGAAATCGAATACACATGGCATGGAGGTTTGCATTAGATGCTGATAGGATTCCAGGCACAGGAGCGGTTATTAACTTGGCTTTCTATATTTTTCTGAAAATGTTTGGAGTCTTTCACTGTGGGCTTTTGTGTGTTTGCTCCTTTTGTTTTGGTTTAGTTGGGGGTTTTGTTTGTTTGTTTTGGTCAGTCTTAGGGTTCAAACTTAGGGCCTGGGCTCTGTCCCAGAGCCTTAGTGCTCAAGGCTAGTGCATTACTCCTTTGAGCCACAGTGCCACTTCTGATTTTCTGGTGATAAGTGTCTCACAGGCTTTCCTTCCCTGGGCTGGCTTTGAACTGCGATCCTCAGATCTCAGTCTCCTGAGTAGCTAGGAAAACAGGCGTGAGCCACCAGCGCCCGGTTTAACTCAGGATCTTGAATTTGTTTTAGCGTCTCTGCCACTTGACCCCCACCCCTTAGGGTGTTTTGGTTTCTTTTAACTTTTATTTTGTTCAGATAGGGTCTCAAGCTTTTGCCTGCAATGGCCTTCAACCTTAATCCTCCTATTTTCACCTCCTGTGTATCTGTGCTGACCAGCTACCACACAGCTCTGAAAAAGTACTTTTAAAATGGGAGTTGAGGTTGTAGCCCATTGGTGGAACACTTACCCAGCATCCACAGCGCGAGGCTAGGTTCAATGCCCAGGAAAAAGAAAAAGATAGGAAAAGCCTTGTTTCTACTCAGTTCAGTACCTTCCTGGTCCCTTCATTCTCAGAAAGCCCAACTCCCTTGTGACAGGTTCAAGGCTTTGCAAAGCCTTGATGTTTGGGAATGGGATCCGGGCTCTTGTACACGCTAGGCAAGCGCTCTTCCATTCCCAGCCCTTGGGATCTTTTGTGGGTTATTTTCTTTTTTCTTTGTGGATCCTGGGTCTTGAACCCAGGGCCTGGATGGTGTTCCTGAGCTCAAGGCTAGTGCTCTATCAATTTGAGACACAATGCCACTTCCAGTTTTCTGGTGGCTAACTGGAGATAAGAGTCTCCTGGACTTTCCTGCCCAGGCTGGCTTTAAACCACGATCCTTAGATCTCTGCTTCCTGAGTTGCTAGGATGACAAATGTGAGCATTATGTGTGTTTTTATGATTTCTTTTGTTTTTTTGTTTCTTTGGTCACTCGTGGGGCTTGAATTCTGGGCTTGGGCGCTGTCCCTGTGCTCTTCAGCTCAAGGTGAGCACTCTACCACTTGAGCCACAGCGCCACTTCCGGTTTTCTAGTGCCTTTTATTGGAGATAAGAGTCTCACAGACTTTCCTGCCTAGGCTGGCTTTGAACCGTGACCCTCAGATCTCAGCCTCCTGAGTAGCAAGGATTACGGGTGTGAGCCACTGGCACCCAGCTAATTTAATTTGTTTTTTGAAACAGCATCTCCTTACATAGCCCAGGCTGGCTTCAAACTCAAGATCCTCTTGCCCTAGCCTCCCTAGTGTTGGGATTACAGGTGTGTGCCACCGTGCCCCGTTGCATGCCCCAAAAGATTGGTGATAAGGATGAATAAGAGAGGAGAGGAGAAACAAATTAGACAGGGGTGGGGTGGGAGAGAAGGAGGTTGAGAAGAAGCCCGATGAACCGGATGTTTCCCTATGGTGATACCCTGGGCTGGGAGTGCCACCTTAGAAAAGAGCCTTGCTCTTTCTTCTCCTGAGCTGGTTTCTTTATAGAGTAGGAGGCCTAATTAAGATGGTGAATCTTGGGGCTGGGAAGGTGGCTCAGTGGTAGAGCGCTTGCCTTGCATGCATGAAGCCCTCGATTCGATTCCTCAGCAACACATAAGCAGAAAAAGCCAGAAGTGGGGCTGAGGCTCAAGTGGTAGAGCGCTAGAAGAGCTGAGGGACAGCGCCCAGGCCAGAGTTTAGGCCCCACGACAAACAACAACAACAAAAAGATCGTGAATCTTGGTATTGAAATGTAGCTCAGTGGTAGATTGCTTGCCTAGCATGCATGAAGCCCTGGATTCAAATCCTCAGTACCATATACACAGAAAAAGCCGGAAGTGGTGGCTGTGGCTCAAGTGGTAGAGCGCTAGCCGTGAGCAAAAGGAGCTCAGGGGCTGTGCCCAGGCCCTGAGTTCAAGCCCCAGGACTGGCAAAACAAACAAAAATAGCACGACTCTTCCAAATACCTTGATCCGAACTGGGAAGGGAAGGTGTTTTTATTTCTTTTTTTCTTTTTTTTTGTCAGTCGTGGGGCTTGAACTCTGGGCCTGGGCGCTGTCCCTCAGCTCTTCAGCTCAAGGCGAGCGCTCTACCACTTGAGCTACAGCGCCACTTCCGGTTTTCTGGGGGTTTATTGGAGATAGGAGTCTCACGGTCTCTCCTGCCCGGGCTGGCTTTGCACCGCGATCCTCAGATCTCAGCCTCCTGAGTAGCTAGGATTACAGGCGTGAGCTACCAGCGCCCGGCGGTGTTTTTGTTTTCTTGTTGGTCATGGGGCCTGTCCCTCAGCTCTTCAGCTCAAGGCTAGTGCTCTACCACTTGAGCCACACTTGAGCCAGCTTTTTCTGCTTATGGGGTGCTGAGGAATCGAACCCAGGGCCTCATGCATGCAAGGCAAGCACTCTACCACTGAGCCACCTTCCCAGCCCTGGTGTTTTTGCATTTGACCAGTACTGGGATTTGAACTCTGAGGGCCTTACATGTGTTTGCCAGGTATGCTCTAGCTTTGAGCCCCCCTCCAAAGCCACACCTCCTTAAGCCACGGACCAATTAGAGTCCGGCCCCAGCCTCTGAAACCACGCCTGTGCCGTTAAGCCACGCCCCATCCTGTAAATGATGCTTGCCACGTAGACCACGCCCAGCCCCTTCAGGCCACGCCCTCGCCCCCTGGGCCACGCCCCCTGCCAGGCCAGGCTGCAGCCGGCTGCGTGGATGGATGGTCAGTTGGGTGAATCCAGGCCCTGAAATCAAACACGCGCCAGCTTTGCTCCTGAAGCCCTTGCCTCTGCCCCTCTGAGCCTCAGTTTCCTCATCTGCTGAAGAAGAGGACAGTAACACCCCCCCCCCCTCATAGATCCAGGGACATTCATATGCACCCCGGCTGCACCTGCGCTGACCCTCGTCTCTCCCCAGGTGCCCGCCCGTCAAGATGCCCATCCTGAAGAGTCTAGGGGTGGCGGACCCCAAGATGCCCCGGGCGGGGACCCTGCCCCTCAGATCCTCCCGCAACCCCTTCGAGGAGGTTCCAGGGCTGGAGGGAGAGACGGGGGACCTGGGCCCCCTGCCCAATGGGACATCGTGTCGCCGCCGGGCCACCCTGGAAAAGCTGGCGGGCCTGGCCCCCTTCCGCCTGGGCTGGTCCCCCGGCCGCCGGGCGGGCAGCCCCGGGGACGGGCAGCCCCGGTCTTTCTTGGGCCGAATGCTGGCCCCGGGGATTCGAAGGAGCTCGGCAGATTTCGGCCTCCTAGCTCGGCTTCAGGGGAGCCGGGGTCACGGCGACGAGGAGGCCACGGGGGAGGCTGCTCGAAGACTAGCCTTCCTGCGCCTCGGCCGGGGGCCCAAGCCCAGGAGAGCCTCCCTGGCCGAGAGGGTGGTCCCCACCGGAGAGGCCGCCCCTGAACCCCCGCCCAAGATCCGGGAGCCCCCAAAGATGAAGGAGCCCTTGTCAGGTAAGTGAAGAGCCCTGATGTGGAGGTATGGCCGTGTGGCTCCCCTCCTCCCCCTGCCTGGGCCTCCCTGCCTCCATTCTTAGCCCATACAGGTATCCCTAAGAAGCTCACCCTCTGTCCCATCCATCTCCCACCTCCCCAGCCTCCAGCACCCCCAATCCATCCTCCCCACCATCTCTATGATCAAAATCAAAGAAGATGCCTGTCATCCTAGCTACTCAGGAGGCTGAGTTCTGAGGATCACGGTTCAAAGCCAGCCCAGGCAGGAAAGTCCGTGAGACTCTTATCTCCAATAAACCACCAGAAAACCAGAAGTGGCGCTGTGGCTCGAGTGGTAGAGCGCTCGCCTCGAGCTGAAGAGCTGAGGGACAGCACCCAGGCCCAGAGTTCAAGCCCCACGACTGAGTGAAAAAAAAAAAAATCACAATTGTAAACCCTCAGCTACTCCGGTGGCTGAGATCTGGAAGATTGAAATTTCAGGCCAGCCTAAGCAAATAGTAGTTCGCCAAGTCTCCATCTCCACAGAAGAAGCTGGCCATGGTGGTTCATGCCTGGCATCTCCACTAGGATGAGAAGCAGAAGTTGTGGGAACTTGGGTTCATACTTGCCTGGGGGTGGGGGTGGGATGAAGGATCAATGTCAAAAATAACTAGAGCAAAAAGGGCTGGAGGCATGGCTCAGCAGTACAACATCTGTCTAGTAACACAAGCCTTTAACAGCATCCCCTCCATCCTCAACCTCTTCTTCTCTGTCTGTCAGTGTCTAGTTCTTCCTTCTCAATGTCTTCTCTGTTTCCGTCCAACCCATTCTTTTCTGTGCCAGCCCTAGGGCTTGAAATCAGGTCCAGGCCACTGTCCATGGCTTTTTTCTTTTTCTTTTTGTCAGTCATGGGGCTTAAACTCCGGGTTTGGGCATTGTCTTTGTGCTCTTCAGCTCAAGGCGAATGCTTTACCGCTTGAGCCACAACGCCACTTCCGGTTTTCTGGTGGTTTATTAGAGATAAAGAGTCTCACAGACTTACCTGCCCAGGCTGGCTTTGAAGCGATCCATCCTCAGATCTCAGCTTCCTGAGTAGCTAGGATTACAGGCGTGAGCCACCAGCGCCCTACCAGTCCATGGCTTTTTTTCCCCCTCTCAAAGCTAGTTAATGCTCTACTATTCAAACCACGGCTCTACTTTTTGATTTTTGGTGGTCAGTTGGAAGTAAGAGTCTCCGGAACTGGGTGCCAGTGGCTTATATCTTTAATCCTAGTTACTCGGGGGATTAAGATCTGAGGAGCGCAGTTCAAAGCCAGCCGGGGCAGTAAAGTCTGTGAGACTCTTCATCTCCAGTGAATCACCCAACACATCAGAAGTGGAGCCGTGGCTCAAAAAAGTAGTAGAGAGCTACCCCTGAACAGAACAGCTCAGGGACAGCACCCAGGTCCGGAGTTCAAGCCCCATGACTGACAAAAAAAGAAAAAGTAAAAGTCTCAAGGCCTTTCTCTTCTCCGGCTGGCTTCAAACCTCGATCCTCAGATCTCAGCCTCCTGAGTAGCTAGGATGACAGGCCTGAGCCACCACAACTGACTTCCAACGCCATTCTTGTCCTGTCCTCTATCTATCCTGGAATCTCGCTCCATCTCAGGACCCGCATCCTCATCCCCGAATCCCCCTCTCACACCCACACCTGAATTCCGGGCCCTCCCCAGCTCCTGTGCGCTCCCCCCCCCCCCCCACTCCAGTGCCCTCTACATCCTGGCTCTTTCAGCCCCAGCTCCCTGGGGATTGGGAGGGCACGGCGGGGAGGTGAGGAGGGGGTGACTGGAGCCCCCGCCTTCTGGAAACGGATGGGCAGAAATAGCCCTGGCCAGGAAATAGTTTCTCTGCCAGGGAGGAAGCAGAGGGGGAGGTGTGGAGGGTAACTCTGGGCCGCCCGGGGCCATGGGACCCTCCCGCCTCCCCTCTGCTTCCAGTCCAGACTCCCAACCCCATGCTTCTCCTAGCTGGAGCAAAGCTGGGGGGCGCTGCCGGAGTGTGGCCTCTCCCCAACAGCCATCCCCACCCCAAGCACCCCAAGTCACCTCCAGATCTGCCTCCTCACTTGCCCCCTGCTCTGTCCCCTCCTGGCTCTGACCGTAGCTCACATCTCTCTCTATCTGTCTAGTGTGGGTTTGTTTTGTGCCAGTCCTGGGGCTTGAACTCAGGACCTGGGTGCTGTCCCTAAGCGTTTTTCACTCAAGGCTGGCACTCTAGCACATCAGCCACACTTCTACACTTCTGTCTTTTTGGTAGTTAATTGGAGATTAGAGTCTCAGAGACTTTCCTTTCCCCTGCTGACTTTGGACCACAATCCTCAGATCTCAGCCTCCAGAGTAGCTCGGATGACAAGCGTGAGACATGGAGGCTGGGTTTTGTGTTTCTGAGGCAGAGTCTCCCTAGACTTCATTGAGACCGGCCTTGAACTCATGATCCTCCTTCTTCTGCTTCCCGGTTAGCTCTGGAATTACAGGCGGTCACCAGCATACTGGATGCCATCAGCCCTAGATTTTTCTTTCTTTTTTATTAGTTGGTGGAGGGGCTTGAACTCTGGGCTTGGGCGCCGTCCCTCAGCTCTTCAGCTCAAGGCTAGCTGTCTGAGCCACAGCACCACTTCCAGTTTTCTGGTGGTTCATTGGAGAGATCAGAGTCTCATGGACTTTCTTGTTTGGGCTGGCTTTGAACCCTGATCCTCGGATCTCAGTCTCCTGGGTAGCTAGGATGACAGGCGGGAGCCACCGGCCTCGGGCTTAGCCCTAGATTTTTCACTCTGTCTCTCTCACTGGCTCTCTCTTCCCTAGCCTTCTCTCCTGGTCTTCCACCCCCTCTCCAGGAGCGCCCCCCACCATGCATCCCCTTGGGGATCCTGATCTGGGACCCCCCACACACACACCCCTCTGCGCTTTGTGCCCCCACAGTGTTGGAGATCCTGAGCCTGATCCAGCGGCGCGAGCTGGCACGGGCGGACGAGCACATCTTGGAGCTGGAGGCGGAGGAGCTGGCGTCGTCGGGGGGCGGCGCCCCGGGTCCCCCCCAGGCCCCGGGCGCGGGCGGCGGCCGGCGGGCGCGGGACGTGGCGCTGCTGTACGAGGCCCTGCAGCGCGAGCTGTGGGCGCTGGTGCGGGAGACGCTGGCGGGGCCCGGGCCGGGCGCGGGCGTCGGGCCGGGCGCCGTGGCGCAGCTGGGCCAGGTGCTGGTGCAGGAGGAGGCGGCCGACGGGCGCCGGGGGCCGGGCGCCGCCCGCCGGCTGCGCGCGCGCTGGGCCGAGGCGGTGGCGCGGGCGGCCCGCGAGCGCCTGGAGGCGGCGGCCCCCGGGGCCCCCGGCGGCGGCCTGGCCGGGCGGCTGGAGGCGCTGCGGGCGCGGCTGCTGGAGGACCTGGCGGTGGTGCGCGGCCGCCTGGCGCCCGCCTACCCCGCCGGCCTGGGCGCCTTCGGCGTCTACCTGCGCGGCTACCACGGCGCGCTGGCCGAGTGGCTGGGCGCCGCCGCGCGCCGCAGGCTGCCGCTGGCCGACCGCTACGCGCTCCTCCACTGGCACAACCAGGTGTACCCCAGGTGAGGGGAGCAGGGGCCGAGCCAGCCAGGACCCCCCCCCCCCCAGCCCAAGCCCTGAGACAGCCAGGACCCCTCCCCAGCCCAGCCCCTGAGACAGCCAGGACCCCCCATTCCCAGACCCAGAGCTAGCCAGGATCCCCCCCCAGCCCAAGCCCTGAGACGGCCAGGACCCCCCAGTCCCTGAGACAGCCAGGACCACCCCATTCCCAGACCCAGAGCTAGCCAGGACCCCCCCCCCCAGCCCAGGCCCAGAGACAGCCAGGACCCCTCCCTAGCCCAGCCCCTGAGACAGCCAGGACCACCCCATTCCCAGGCCCAGAGCCAGCCAGGACCCCCCCCAGCCCAGCCCCTGAGACAGCCAGGACCCCCCCCTAGCCACTGAGACAGCCAGGACCCCCCCCATTCCCAGGCCCAGAGTCAGCCAGGACCCTCCCCCCAGCCCAGCCCCTGAGACAGAACAGCCCACCTTCCACACATCCATCCTGACACCCCTCCCCTTTCCCACCCAGAGCTGGGGGGGGGGAATCTCAGGCTCCTGGAATCTTCTAGACTTTGGTTTCCCACCTACCTGTACAGTTTATTGGGGGAGGGGGGGTTTGCGGTGCCAGTCCTGGGGCTTGAACTCAGGGCCTGGGCACTGTCCCTGAGCTTCTTTTTTGCTCAAGGCTAGCACTCTACCACTTGAGCCACAGCACCACTTCCGGCTTTTTCTGTGTATATGGTACTGAGGAATTGAACCCAGGGCTTCATGCATGCTAGGCAAGCACTCTACCACTGAGCCACCTTCCCAACCTAAGCCCTACACGTTTAAGAGGCCCTACTCCAGTTCTCAACCCTCAGCACCCTGGACCCACACAAGTTCTACTAGCTCAGTCAGTGAAGTTCATGCCTGTAATCCCAGCTACCAGGATCCTAGGTTGAAGCTAAGCCTGGGAAAAAGTTAGCAAGATCCTCCCTCAAACTCCATCTCAATGAACAAGCCTGGGTTGGTGGTACATGCATGACATCCCGGCACTCAGGAGACTGAGGAAGGAGGATTCTGAGTTCCAGGCCAGCTTGGGCTACAGAATAAGAAAAAAGACCAAAAGAGCCGGGTGCTGGTGGCTTACGCCTGTAATCCTAGCTACTACTCAGGAGGCTAAGATCTGAGGATCCCAGTTCAAAGCTAGCCTGGGCAGGCAAGTTTGTAGGCAAGTTTGTGAGACTCTTATCTCCCATGAACCACCAGAAAACTGGAAGTGGTGCTGTGGCTCAAAGTGGTAGAGCAATAGCCTTGAGCAAAAGAGCTCAGGGACAGCGCCCAGGCCCAGAGTTCAAGCCCCACAACCAAAAAAGAAGAAAAAAAAAAAAGTGGATCAGGAAAGTCTGTGAGACTCTTATCTCCAATTAACTAGTAAAAGCTGGACTGGAGGCATGGCTCAAATGGTAGAGAGTTAGTCTTGAGTGAAAAAACCAGGGGCTGGGATTACAGCTGTGAGCTCCCATGCTTGGCCTGGACTATGAGTGGAGACTCTGAGCAAAAGGCTAGTGGGAGGGTGGATGGTGGGGGTTGTTAGGGGGGATTGATACCCTGGCTCAACCTAGCCATGCCTAGCCATGTGGGGGACACAGATGGGGTTGGGGTGACATGGGCCTACCTAGGAACATAGATGGAAGGCAGTGGATCGTGGGTGAGGCCTCGCATGTCAGGTCCTCGGGTCTCAACTTGACCTCCGTGTCTTGTCCGGACACCATCCATCACGGAGCTGACTCAGAGCTGGAGACAGGCGAGACACAATCGCAGCCATGTCCCTCGGCGGATGAGCAAAGCTGGGTCCCAGGAGAGGAAGGGAGAGGCCCGGGGTCACACAGGCGGAGGTGGTGTGGGCTAGGACAGGGGCCCATCGCCCGGCCTCACCCCTCACGGGCCTCCCTGTTTCTCTTCCCCTCTCCCTCAGGGAGGTCCTAGGGCTGGTGGACATGGTGGCCCTGGAGAACGGGGAGTTGGGACCCCTTCTGTCCCCTGGCACCCTGCTGGGCTTGGAGGACGAATGTGTCACAGATGTCAAGGTATCTAGACTCCACATTGGCCATGATGGGGGTCACTGCGGGTTTGGGGGGGTTCTCCCCTCCTTGGTTCATGATGTCTGTCTCCCTTTTGCTGTGGGAATACCTGAGCTCTCAGTGTTGTCTCTGCATTCCTCCTCCTCCCCAGTGCGCATGCCAGGGGAGGGGGAGGGACACAGATACTCAGAGGTTGGGACACATCAGATCCTTGGAATCCTAGAGCCTGAAAAAGCCATTGACCGTTCTGCACACAGGCGGCCCCCAGCCATAGAGGGGTGTCCCCTGTGGATGGTGAGCCCAGCCCCAGGACCCTGAGCCTAGATTCCCAGTAGATCCACATTTGTCTAGCTCCTGCAAACTGGTGTTTGCATTAAGCCAGCAATCAGGAGATGAGCAATGCTCTGGAATTCCTGAATCATAGAAACCAAGAATCTAGCCAGACGCCGGTGCTCACACCCTAGCTACTCAAGAGGCTGAGATCTGAGGATCATGGTTCAAAGCCAGCCTAGGCAGGAAACTCCATGAGACTCTTATCTCCAATAAACCATCAGAAAACCTGAAGTGGCACTGTGGCTCAAGTGGTAGAGTGCTCGCCTTGAGCTGAACAGCTGAGGGACAGCGTCCAGGCCCAGAGTTCAAGCCCCACAACTGACAAAAGAAAAAAAAGAAACCAAGAATCTTTTTATTTATTTTTCTATGTGCCAGTCCTGCGGCTTGAATTCAAGACCTGGGCACTGTCCCTTCGTTTTCTTCCTCAAGGCTAGTGATCTACTTGAGCCACAGCACCACTTTTGGCTTTTCTTTTTTCCTTTTTGGTGGTTCATTGGAGAGAAGAGTCTTATGGTCTTTCCTGCCCTGGCTGGCTTTGAATCTTCAGGCCTCAGCTTCCTGAGTAGCTAGAATGACAGGCGTGAAGAATCTGACAACTTTAAACTGTCTGGTGGGAGAGGAGCCAATGAAATAAAGATCTTTAAGCCCATTGGCTGTTAAACGTAGTGAGCTCAAAGCCACTCCTTAGGCAGGAGGGAAGCGAGGGCTGAATGGAGCAGGTGTCCTTGAACTTGGCGGCCTCTCGAGTGGGATCTGAAAAGACCTGAATGGCTCACACCTGTCATCCCAGCTACTCAGGAGGCTTGAGATCTGAGGATCCAGGTTCAAAGCCAGCCCAAAGCCAGCCCAGGCAGGAAAGTCTGGGAGATTCGTACCGCCAATGAAACCAGCAGAAAGCCGGAAGTGGAGCTGTGGCTCAATGTGGTAAAGCTGTGGCCTTGAATGAAAAACCAAAAACATACAAATAAATAAAAGCACTTGAAGCTCCAGGGGTCAGGGGAGGATGATGTGGTGGGAGGAAAGAGAAAGACCCTCACCCCAGCCAGCCCCGACTCCCGGCAGGCTCAGACGCGGGCAGCCCTTCTTCGAGTTCTCCAGGAGGATGAGGAGCGTTGGGGCTGCCTAGAGGACCAGCCCAGCAGCCTGGCACAGGACGTGTGTGAGGTAGGCCGTCCCTGGGAAGACGGGGATCAGCTGCACCCCCACGGGATGGGCGGGAGGATGGTGAGCCCGCCCCCAACTCTCCTATACCTCATGTCTGGCACAGCTGCTGGAAGAGCACACAGAAAGAGCGCCCCGCATCAGCAAGGAATTTGGGGAGCGCATGGCGCACTGCTGCCTGGGCGGGCTGGCAGAGTTCCTGCAAAGGTTAGGAGCACAAGGGGGACAGGGCTGGGGGGGCGGGGAGGTGACAGATAGAAGATGGGCGTGCTGGTGGCTTATGCCTGTCAGCTATTCAGGAGGCTGAGATCTGAGGATCCAGGTTCAAAGCCAGCCTGGGGAGGAAAGTCCATGAGACTCTGATCTCCAGTGAACCACCAGAAAACCGGAGGTGGTGCTGTGGCTCAAGTGGTAGAGCGCTCACCTTGAGCTGAAGAGCTCAAGGACAGCTCCTAGGCCCAGAATCAAGCCCCACAACCACCAGAAAAAAAAAAAAAAAAGAAGAAAGATGGGGTTCTGACCCCAGCGTGGTGCCCTGCTCCTCTCCACCCTAGTTTCCAGCAGCGAGTGGAGCGTTTCCATGAAAACCCAGGAATCCGGGAGCTGCCCACAGATGTCTACATCAGCAGGACCATCGCCCTGGTCAACTGCGGGCCCCCCCTGAGGTGAGACACCCCTTACTGCATGTGGACACCCCAGAGGCTGCTCAACAGAGATGCCCAGGTGCCAGGTGGAAAATCCCAGCACTGACCCAGGAGACGTCCACATAGGACCTGGAAGTTCTAGAAGCATACATGTCATGTATATACTTCTTCCCCTTCAATACTGGGATTTGAACTCAGGGCTTTGTGTTCGCTGGGCTTGCTTGCTGAGCTGGTGCTCTACCATTTGAGCCAAGTCTCCAATCTGGCATTTTGCTGGTTACCTGGAGATAAGAGTCCTACAGATGTCTTCCCCCTGCTAGCTTCAAACTGATTTTCTAGATTTTTGTTTTTGGCAGGGGGGAGGGAGGGGGGAGGGGAGAGGGTGGTTGATCTTGAGGCTTGAACTCAGGGCCTGGGCACTGTTTCCAAGCTCTTATGCTCTTATGCTCAAGGACAGCACTCTACTACTTTGAGCCACAGCACCACTGGCTTTTGAGTGGTTAATTGCACATAAGAGTCTCAGGGGACTTTTCTGGCTGGGCTGGCTTTTTTTTTGAGGTCATGGGGCCTGAACTCTGGGCCTGGGTGCTGTCCCTCAGCTCTTCAGCTCAAGGCTAGCGCTACCACTTGAGCCACAGCACCACTGCTGGCTTTTTCTGCTTATGTGGTGCTGAGGAATGGAACCCAGGGCCTCATGCATGCAAGGCAAGCACTCTACCACCAAGCCACCTTCGCAGCCCCGGGCTGACTTTTAATTGTGATCCTCATATCTCTGCCTCCTGAGTAGCTAGCATATAGGCATGGGCCACAAGTTCCTGGATGAATTGGGTTTTTTTTTTCTTTTTTTTAAATAAAGAAAACAACATCCATGCCCTGGTGGCTCACGCTTGTCACCCTAGCAACTCAGGAGGCTGAGATCTGAGGACTGTGGTTCAAAACCAGCCCAGGCAGGGAAGTCTGTGAGACTCATCTCCAATGAACCACCAAAAATCTGAAAGTGGAGCTGTGGCTCAAGTGGTAGAGCGCTCACCTTGAGCTGAAGAGCTGAGGGACAGCACCCAGGCCCAGAGTTCAAGCCCCACAACGGACACAAAAAAACTGACTTTCAGTTCCCTTGGACCTTGCAGGGCTCTGGCAGAGCGTCTGGCCAGGGTGAGTCCCCCTGAGAGCGAGCCTGCTCGGGAAGCCTCGGCCTGCGCCCTGGACCGTGTGACCCGGCTTTGCCACCGTGTCCTCATCGACCTGCTGTTCCAGGAGCTGCAGGTGAGTGGGCGGGGGCGGGGACAGGGGGGCCTCAGGAAGCAGGTGGGGGATGGTCCTGCTTGGAGGGGAAAGGGGGGGTCAGGAAGGGGGAAAGGAGGGGATAAGGGTAGAATTACTAGGATGGGGAGGGGAACTTGGGTGGGGCTCCCTACATCATCAAGGTGGGACACATCTTAAATGACTCATGGGGCCCAGCTGGCCATTTACCCCCACCTCTTTGATCAGAATAACCCCCGGGGCTCCAGGCCCACCTTACCCTGGTCCCCAGGCCCCTCCCTTTGCAGACTTCATCTCCATCTGCCCACTGAGTCACGCTCTCACCCCCATCCCCCAGGCCTGCCAGCCCCTCTGCTGCCCCAAACAAAGCCAGGGCCTTCCTGCCTCAGGACCTTGGTACCTGCTGCTCTTGCTGCCTAGAATGTTCCCTTGGCATAGCTGCCTCTCACTTCTTTCAAGTCCTGACTTGAAGCATCAACCTGTCCATGAGGCTTTCTCCTGTCATTCTGCAGCTGCTTGAGCCAGCCCAGTGCCATATACCTGTAGTCTCAGCCCAGCCTCCTGAGCAGCTAGGATTACAGGCATCAGCGGGGGATGGAGACCCAGCCTGGTACATTCTGGGCAGGGGCTCCACCGCAAAGGCACACCCCCCCCAGCATAGACTACACCCCATCCACAAGCCCCCTACAATCGAGCCATGCCTCCAGCACACTGCACTTTTTTGGTGTGACATGGGGCTTGAACTCTGGGCCTGGGTGTGCTGTCCCTCAGCTTCCCAGTTCAAGGCTACCGCTCTACCACTTGAGCCACAGCGCCAATGGTGGTTCATTGGAGATAAGAGTCTCACGGACTTTCCTGCCAGGGCTGGCTTTGAACGTCGATCCTCAGATCTCAGCCTCCTGAGTAGCTAGGATGACAGATGTGAGCCACCGGCGCCCAGCTTTTTTTTTTTTTTTTTTTTTTTAACTCAAGGCTGACACTCTACTACTTGAGCCACAGCTCCACTTCCAAATTTTTGGTGGTTAACCGGAGGTTAGAGTCTCTCAGACTTACATGCCTGGTTAGATTCAAAGCACAATCCTCAGCTCTCAGCCTCCTGCGGAGCTGGGATGACAGGTGTGAGCCACCTGTTCCCGCTGTGGTTTGTTTTTGTGATAGGGCCTGCACTGGTCCTGAATCTCCATCCTCCTACCTCCATCTTCCTGTGTAGCTGGGATGACAGGTGTGCATCACCATATCTGGCTAAAACCCTTCATGAGGGTCCCCGTGTGCATCGTGTGCTATTCAGGCAAATTCTGTAGGTGGTTTTTGCCCAAGCCGCTAGGCTCTGTCCTGCCGCCACTGCCCTAGCCCTTTCCTCAGCCCTCACCTGCTAATCAAAATCACCCTGGGGCCTCCACCCCTTTCCTCTAGGAAGCCCTCCAGGATTCTCCCTGCCAGTGGGCATCCCTTCTGGGCTTCCTGCCCTGCTGGGCCTGTGCGCCCCGGGTGGCGGCTGCATGCGCTGCCCCTGGAGGACGCGGAGGAAGGACAGGGTGGTTCTGCCCCCAGGTGGGGGAGGGCAGGGCTGACCTCCCCCACGCCCCGTCCTCCCCTCCGCCAGCCGCACTTCAACAAGCTGATGCGCAGGAAGTGGCTGAGCAGCACCGAGGCGCTGGATGGCATCGTGGGCACGCTGGGCGCCCAGGCGCTGGCCCTGCGCCGCATGCAGGACGAGCCGTACCAGGTGCGGGGAGGGTGGGCGCGGGGTGCCCCCTCGCAGGGACCCTCCTCTGGGGAGCGCAGGGGTGACCCGGGGTGACCTCCCCCCCCCCCCCCCCCCGGCAGGCGCTGGTGGCGGAGCTGCACCGGCGCGCGCTGGTGGAGTACGTGCGGCCCCTGCTCCGGGGCCGTCTGCGCTGCCGCTCGGCTCGAACCCGCAGCCGCATGGCCGGGAGGCTGCGTGAGGACGCGGCGCAGCTCCAGCGTCTCTTCCGGCGGCTGGTGAGTGAGGCGCAGGGTGGCGCAGCCGGGAAGGGCAGGACCAGCTCCTCCAGGTTTGGGACACCTCATCTCAACCCCCATACAAGGCCGGGCGCAGTGATACACACCTGCCATCCCAGTTACATGGGGAGCTGGCTGGCCCCCAGCCCGCCTGGGCAGCAAGAGAGATCTGACTGGGAAAATGGATGGATAAGAACAGTGGAGGGAAGCGGGGAGGGGGGGCATGGCTAAAGTGGTAGAGCACCTGCTTCCAAAGTGCCAGGTGCAGAGTTCTAAGCCCAGGGCGCTTGGGCTTTAAAGCTGGAATCAGGAACAAATGGTCTGCACCCAGCGCTTTGGTGAATTCCTGGGCTGTAACCGGAAAACCGTAGCCATTCTTGCCACAACTGATAGAACATATTTTCATCAACAAAAATTGAAGAAGAAGAAAAAAAGGCTAGGTGCCCGAGGAACCCAGAATCTCCCAAACCCAACATGCAGAGCACTCCAATCCTCCCCGTTCCCAGCTGTCATCTGGGGTGCCCGGCCACCCCTCTTCCAGCGTCCAGCCTGGGAGTCCTTGAAACTTTGTACACACTCTCTGAGATTAGATTGACACAGCGGCCAGGAAACCAACACAGCGAACACAGAGCGGCCTGTGCGCGCTCTATCTTGTCTTCCCCTCCTGTAACATTTTGCAAACTTGCAAACGGGTCCGTGCCCTCTCCACCGCCTCCTCTCCTGCCAGACCAACCCTCCACCCCTGGGTCACCCTGGCGGCCCTCAGAATCGTCTCTGGCTCTCTACCAACTGAGCCACAGTACCATTTCCGGTTTTTGAGTGGTTAATTGGGGATAAGAGTCTCACCAGGAGTTTTCCACTTGGGATGGCTCTGAACTGCCATCCTCAGATCTCAGCCTCCTGCGTAGCTAGAAGTACAGTTGTGAACCTCCGACACCTGGCTTCCCTGAGCTTTTTTGCTCAAGGCTAGTGCTCTACCACTTTGAGCCACAGCGCCTCTTCCAGGTTTTTGGGTGGTTCACTAGAGATAGTCTCCTGGACTTTCCTGCCTGTGCTGGCTTTGACCTGCAATCCCTCAGATCTCAGCTTCCTGAATAGCTAGGATTACAGGCATGGGCCAGCTGTGCATGGCTTCTCTGTCTCTTTTTTCTTTTTGTCGGTCGTGGGGCTTGAACGCTGGGCCCAGGCGCTGTCCCTCAGCTCTTCAGCTCAAGGCTAGTGCTCTACCATTTGAGCCACAGCGCCACTTCCAGTTTTCTGGTGGTTAACTGGAGATAGGAGTCTCCTGGAATTTGCTGCCAGTGCTGGCTTTGAACTGGGATCCTCAGATCTCAGCCTCCTGAGCAGCTATGATGACAGGCGTGAGCCACCTGCCCCCAGCTTCTGTCTCTTTTGAGAAAGGGTCTCATCGTGTAGCCCTGGCTAGTTTGTAACTCTGGATCCTCTTAGCTCAGTTTTCACATGCAGGGATTACAGGCATGCCCCACAGCACTGGGCTTGGGATAGGTTTTGAAGGCTGTTACCTAGTGGAGAGATAGATTATAGATTTTCCTTCAATTAGTCCCTGCCCCTTCTGCGCCCCTTCACAGATGGGGGGTCGGGATGGGTCTGCTGGGCAAAGTATGAGCGGTGGGCTGTGCCCCTTCCCCCCACCACAGGAGTCCCAGGCCTCCTGGCTGGACGCGGTGGTACCACACCTGGCGGAGGTCCTGCAGCTGGAAGACACACCCAGCATCCAGGTGGAGGTGGGGGTGCTGGTGCGGGACTACCCAGACATCAGGTGAGCCCCCTGCCCTCCCCCAAGACTTGGCATCCGTCCCCCCATTTCCTGCCCCGCCCCCCTTCCAGGCACGGGAGGGAGGCGGCAAGCGTGTCTGCGGCTGTTTCCTGCTGGAACTGGGCAATATTAAAACGATTTCCCTCCTCCCACCGCCACCAGTGCCGCCGCCACCCGGCTTGCAAACAAACAGGCGGCTACAGGAAGCCGGGGCAGTGGGGCGCTGGGCAGGGGGGCAGAGAGGAAGGGCTGGCCCAGCAGGGGGGACTCAGGACAGCACAGGCAGGCGGGCATGGAGAGCCATCCAGTCCTGAGGGCCACTTGCGTCTGCTCCCCAGAAGTACTGAGAGAAAAGCTGGGCATCTGTGGCTCTCGCATGTCATCCTAGCTACTCAGGAGGCTGAGATCTGAGGATCTCAGTTCAGAGCCAGCCTAGGCAGGAAAGTCTGTGAGACTCTTATCTCCAATAAACCACCAGAAAACCGGAAGTGGCGCTGTGGCTCAAGTGGTAGAGCGCTCGCCTTGAGCTGAAGAGCTGAGGGACAGCGCCCAGGCCCAGAGTTCAAGCCCCACGACCAACACACAAAAAAGTTGTTTGAGAAAATTAGCTGGCTGCCTGTGGCTCTTGCCTGTCATCCTAGCTACTCAGGAGGCTGAGATCTGAGGACTGTGGTTCAAAGCCAGCCTGGGCAGAAAAGTCTGTGAGACTCCAATCTCCAATTAATCAGCAAAAAGTAGGAAGCAGAGTTGTGGCACAAGTGGTAGAGCTCCAGACTTGAGTGAACACACTCAGGGCCAGCGCCTAGATGCTGAGGTCAAACTACCCTATGGGCATCAAACTAAAACAAAACAGCCGGAAAGCTGGGCTGGAGGTGTGGCTCAGGTGGTAAAGTGCCAGCCAGACAAGCTTGAGGACCTGAGTTCAAATTCTGGTATAGCCCAAAGAAAGGGGGGTGGGAGGGGATACCCAAAGTAACCTCATGGGTCACATGCAAAAATGTGCATGTCTGCAGTATGATCTGTAGGCTGTGGGGACCCTTGGACTTGAACCCAGGGAGCAGACCAGCCCTTGGTGACGCCCTGCTGTGGTGTTGAGGGGAGTCCCTTTTTGGGAAAGGGGGGGTGCAGAATAGGGCAGGGTGCTTGTGGTTTTGTTTTTTGGGTCCGGTTGTGGGGCCTGAACTCTGGGCCTGGGCACTGTCCCTCAGCTCTTCAGCTCAAGGCTAGCGCTCTACCACTTGAGCCACAGCGCCACTTCCGGCTTTTTTCTTATGTGGTGCTGAGGAATCGAACCCAGGGCCTCATGCATGCAAGGCAAGCGCTCTCCCACTGAGCCACCTTCCCAGCCCTGTGGTTTTGTTTGAAAGCACTTTGGGGGGGGGGGGTGATCCTGGGATTTGAACTCAGGGCCTCTCAGGAGTCCTTGGTGGGCTGGTGCTTCTACCCCTTGGGCCTGCCCGCCAGCCCCAGGGAGTCAGCTTTGAGGATGAGGCTTGGGGGTAAGGAGACTTTGAGGATGAGGCTTGGGGGTAAGGAGAGGGCCTCGGGGTGACCTTGAACCTCCACTAGCGTTTTTGGGGAGCTCCGGGTGGTCATGGCGGGGGAGGGGGCGGGGAGGAGGGCGGCAGGAGTGGGGGGCTCCCCGGGACTGGCCCGCCTCTCCCCGCAGGCGCAAGCACGTGGCGGCGCTGCTGGACGTGCGCGGCTTCCCGCGCGCCGCGGGCCGCCAGGAGATCCTGGCGGTGGCCCGCGACCTGGAGCTGTCGGAGGCCGGCGCGCCGCCCGCCCGCGCCCGCGCCTTCTTCGCCGACATCCCCGTGGCCCGCCCGTCCTTCTGCCTCAGTTTCCCTCTGCTGCTGGGGCGCCTCCCGGTGTCCGGGTTGGCCGGGCCCCGTCTGGCTCGCCTGTCCGTGCGTCCTCGGCCCGGGGCCCCGGCGGCGGCGGGAGCGCGGCGCTGAGGCCCCCCGGCCCGGCCCCGGCGCCCCCCCGGTCCCCCCCGGCCCCCCCCCCGGCCCGGGACGCCGACCCCAAGTCCTTGAGCCTCCCCTCCCCCGAGCCTGGCGCGGGGGGGCGGGGGGCACGCTGGAAGGTTCTACCCACAGAAACATCCCGGGGCTCCCCGCCCCTCCCCTCAAGGCCGGGCCCCCATCCAACCCGTGAAGGAATGTTCGATACTTAGAATAAAGAGGTTTCTATTTAACGCGAGGAAGGGCTGAGTCCCGAGTGTGCGGGGGGGGGGGGGGAGGAAGAGGGGGGGCTGGGGTGCGGGGCCCGGGCCAAGGGCCGGTCACCCCCGCCCAAGGCCGGGCTGGGGTCCCGATGGGCGCGGGGCAGGGGGGGGGGGCCCTCCCTCCCTCCCCCGCATCGCCCCCCCTGCATCACCCCCCCCCTCCGCCTCCCATCCCCGCGGCCATCCTTGGCGGGAAGCCGCGTCCCGCCGCCCCGCCCGGAGAGGAAGGAGGTGGGGGGCGGGTTGGCGGCATCCAGGGCGCCCTCCTGGGTTGACACCGGAAGGTTCGGGGTGGGAAAGTTTCCAGCCTCTCACACACACCCCCCCTCCCCGGCCCCAGGGCGGCCCGCGGGGGCCCCTGAGCCGCTTGACCCCCGGGCGCCTTCCCCGGCCCCCGACAGCCTGGTGATGGATGCTTCCTGGCCTCGCCGGCCCTGGAGGTGCTTGTTTGCTTCTTCTTCTTCCCTGAGAACTCCTGAAGTGGAGGAGCCCGGGGTCCGCCCCGGGCTGGGGAGGAAGGGGTCACCCTCCAGGCTGTGGGGGGGCTTGGCCTTCCCTTCCCCCATCCTGGGGTGGGGGGAAGGGGGGAATGAGGCTGGGCACCCACGTGGCTCAGGCCTGCCATCCAAGGGGTTCAAAACCAGCCCAGGCAAGGAAGGTCAGTGGGACTCCTATGCCCAGTTAACCTGCCAAAAGGCAGAAGAGGAGGTGTGGTTCAAGTGGTAGAGTGGCAGCCTTAGTTCAAGCCCTTGGAATGAGCACACGACTCAGCTCTGTATGCATTCTCCCCAGTGTGTACCCGGGTGTGCTTTACACGAGAAAACCTTAGGGCTGGAGGTGCGGCTCTGGTGGTAGAGCACCAGCCCAGCAAACTGCCAGGCCTGAGTTCAATCTCCAAACTATATAACAGAGATGGAGGGAGCTGCGTCAGCTGCTCTGAACCTCCTGTCTCAATGTGTGCAGTGGAACAGATGAAAGCTCTTGGCTTTCTCATCTGTTATGGGCTCTACATTGTCCAGTGAGAAGCAGGGTTCACTGGGGACATCTTCAGCTCCATTAGACCTGCAGGTAGACACTGCTTGATCCCCCTTCTAAGCCATAGATTATGTTGCTTGGAAAAGGGAAAAAAAAACAGGCTGGGAAGGTGGCTCAGTAGTAGATTGCTAAAAACCTGGAAGTGGCGCTGTGGCTCAAGTGATACAGCACTAGCCTTGAGCTGAAGAGCTGAGGGACAGCGCCCAGACTCTGAGTTCAGGCCCCATGACTGACACACACACATAGATACACACACACACACAACTGTAATTTGGGAGGTGCTGGTGGCTCACACCTGTAATGCCAGCTACTCAGGAGGCTGAGATCTGAGGCTTGAAGTTCAAAGCCAGCCTAGACAGGGAAGTCTGTGAGACTCTTATCTCCAATGAACCACCAGAAAACCAGAAGTGTTGTGGCTCAAGTGGTAGATCACTAGCCTTGTGCAAAAAAGCTTGGAGAGAGTGCCCAGGCCCAGAGTTCAAGCCCTGGGGGGTGGGGGGGAGGAAAGGGGGGCTGGCGGGAAGGAACTCCTATAGAAAGCAGGATACACAGAAAGATCTACAAATTACAACCAAATAACTTCGGGTATTCTCTCAAGAGCAAGCCCATGCAACAGTTCAGCCAGGCATGGTGGTGAACATCTGTGATCCCAGCACTCAAGGAAACCTACTGAGGCCTGAAGATCTCAAGTTCAAGACCAGTTTGGGCTAGATAGTGACTTTGAGGCTAATCTGGAATAGAACGAAAGGTACTCAGGAGGCTGAGCTCTGGAGGATCATTGTTCAGAGCCATACTGGAAAGTTTATTACACTCTATCTCTAATTAACTAGCAAAATGGTAGACTGGTGGTGTGGCTCAAGGAGCAAAGCACCAGATGAGCAACCCAGCCCAGTGAGTACGAGGTCCTGAGTTCAAACCCCAGTAAATCCAGGGTAATTTTTAACAGTATAAAATCTAAGTAAAATCAACCTCATCAACAAAAATTAAGGGAGAAAATGCTTTAATTACCATAAAAAATGCAGACAGAGCAGTTGGCAAAATTGTCAGGCTCAGCTGCGAGCCGGAATTTGCCTATTTTCTGAGGTTTTCAATGATCACCACATGCCTTGGATGCTTCATAAACAAGATATATAAATAAATACTCAGTACGTTCCTGAAAGATGTCAGCATTCTTCGGTGTTGGAATTATTCAAAGAGAACCACACAACGATGACTAAACAGGTTGACAATAACAAGTACTTGGACAGCGGAATCCAAACGAAAGAAATGGAGAGGTTAGGGGGCGTGGCTTGTGGGCGGGGCATTGGCGGGGCGTGGTTTCCCTGGGGGCGTGTCTCTGGGCGCGGCTAAAGTGCTGAGCCGCTCTGCCCAGCCAGCAGAAGGCCCAAGTTCAATACTCAGTATCTGAACATGGAGAACTCAATAACCCAATGTCCACATGCTTAGCTTAGTTATTTAGTGGTAAATAACTGCTGGCATGTTAACAGATTCCTGAATTGCCGGAGACCATGGCCGAGCCTGACTTTCTTTTTTTTAATTTGATTTTTTTTTTTTAATTGGCAGAGCTAGGGATGAGGTTCACCATTACCCCAGCTGCAATTTTCTTTTTTTAATTTAGTTTTATGCCATTTTTATTTTCTCTTTTTTTTTTTTGACCTCTGGGTTATTTACTTTGCAAATACTTGTGGGTTTTTTTTTTTTTTTTGAGCTATCTTCCTGTTATTGATTTCTGTCAGGACAGAGAAAATATTTTGTAATATCTGACTTTTGTAAACAGTATGGGGCTGGATTTTTTTTTTTTTTTTTCGGTCGTGGGGCCTGAACTCTGGGCCTGGGCACTGTCCCTCAGCTCTTCAGCTCAAGGCGAAAGCTCTACCACTTGAGCCACAGCGCCACTTCCGGCTTTTTCTGCTTACGTGGTACTAAGGAATGGAACCCAGAGCCTCATTCATGCAAGGCAAGCGCTCTACCACTGAGCCACCTTCCCAGTCCAATGGAGTTGAATTTTGCTCTATTTTAAAAATTTGCTTTTTTTTTTTAAACTCTCCCAAATAGGGTCTTGTGAGGCTCAGCACCTCTCGCTTGATAGGTTTTGTTTGGTAGCTCAGCTTGTCTTGTTATCATTTGGGCCACACCTCCAGCCCAGCTTTTTGGCTAACTAATTGGAGAAAGAGTCTGGAGGAGTTTTCTACCCAGACTATCCTTGAACTCTTTTGCTCAAGACTAGTGCTCTACCACTTTAAGCCACCACTTCCCAACCAAACCTTTTCTTTTTTTTTTTTGGGTCTGGTCATGGGGCCTGAACTCTGGGCCTGGGCGCTGTCCCTCAGTGTTTTAGCTCAAGGCTAGCGCTCTACCACTTGAGCATAGCGCCACTTCCGGCTTTTTTCTTTTTGCTTATGTGGTGCTGAGGAATCGAACCCAGGGCCTCATGCATGCAAGGCAAGCGCTCTACCACTGAGCCACCTTCCCAGCCCCCAACTAAACCTTTTCTATTTAAACAAAAATAATTCTAATGCACTATTAGATGAAGAGATGAACCGTAGGAAAGGAGCCAGCATACAGCCCATTCGGGAGGAGGGGTAGGCCACTCCTGAGGTTCGCGTGCCAGTGTGAACGGATGCCCTGACCCCCGAAGGCATCCATGACCAGCCACAGATGTTCCACAATCCAAAGGAGCCGCTGGAATAACAAAACGAAGAGTCAGAACTAAAATAAACCTACAAAGGAAATAAAACGGGATCATGAAAAATCTCATGAATCCAAAAGAATATGAAAAGAGGACAACAAAGACCAAATGGAAAAATAAATTAAAAAACATACCTATATATAGGACTGAGAATGTGGCTTAGTGGTGGAGTGCTTGCCTAGCATGCATGAAGCCCTGGGTTCCATTCCTCAGTGCATAAACAGAAAAGATGGAAGTGGTGCTGTGACTTTAGTGGTAGAGCGCTAGCCTTGAGCATAGAGAGGCTCGGGACTGTGCCTAGGCCCCGAGTTCAAGCCCCAGGACTGGCCAAAAATAAAATAATGTGTGTGTGTGTGTGTGTGTGTGTGTTTGTATACACATACCAGATGAGAGAGAGACATAAAAAAATAGACAAGGAATCTATCTGTACGGATCTGTACAGATTGTCACATTGGACCCAAACTGTGCAAACATCTAATTCATCATAAGACAAAGATTGTCAGTCTGCACAAAGTCCAAACATATGCTGTCCCAAACAACTGTGTGTTAGCTGGTCATGGTAATGTACACCTGTAAATCCCAGCAGGAGAGATGGAGAGAAAAGGATCATAGGACCCTCTCTCAACAAATAGCAATAAAAAGGAAAGAAACGTACTTTAAACATAAAGATCTTCTATACAACAGGTAACTGAAAATAGACTACAGCTCTATACATAAAACCAACAATTCTAAAAGTCCTAGAAGAGCCAGGCTTCGTTGGCTCATACATGTCATCCTAGCTACTCAGAAGGCTGAGATCTAAGGATCAAGGTTCGAAGCCAGTGGGGGACAAGAAAATCCATGAGACTCTCTCTCTAAACCACTAAAAAGCTAGAAGTAGATCTGTGGCTCAAAGGGTAGAGAGCTAGCTTTGAGTGGAAAAAAAAAAAAAAGCCCAGAAACAGCTCCCAGGACCTGAATTCAAGGCCCATGACTGGCACAAAATGAAATTTTAAAACCCACAGCGGAAAAATTACTCCGTTCCCTGAAGTTACTCGCACCGACCACACGGTGGCGTCATGGGGCCCTCAGGTACCAACCTAGGAGACAGGAAACACCTGTGCAGATAGGCGGTTTACCTGTAATGAACACCCGGGAAGGGCAAACAACCCAAATGCCCCTCACGTGCGAGTGGATAACTAAGTCACGGAGCGCCCACAAAACGCCCGGATCAGCCGAGAAAAAGGACGAGCTTATCTATCTATCTATCTATGTAATATATATATATATATATTACATATATATGTATATATAATATGGGATTAAGTCCTGGAGTTCCTTCCCCAGCTGTCACTTGAGCCACGCCCCTAACCCAAGAAAAACCAATTAGAAGCAGAGGCGTGGCTACGTGGGGTGTGGCTCAAGTCACAGAGTTTCGGCCTTAACAAGATCACAAGCCCTGAGTTCAAATCCCAGTACAGCTACAATAGAAGTGGGAATCTTACTTTTTATTTTTATTTTTAATTTATTTATGTGGTACCAAGGAATCAAACCCAGAGCCTCATGCATGCTAAGCAAGAACTCTACCACTAAGCCACATTCCCAGCCTGGAATCTTATTTTTTTTGTCAGTCATGGGGCTTGAACTCTGAGCTTGGGCGCTGTCACTCAGCTCTTCAGCTCAAGGCGAGCACTCTACCGCTTGAGCCACAGTGCCATTTCCGGTTTTCTGGTGGTTTATTGGAGATAAGAGTCTCATGGAATTTCCTGCCCGGGCTGGCTTTGAACTGTGATCCTCAGATCTCAGCCTCTTGAGTAGCTAGGATGACAGGCGTGAGCCATCTGTGCCCGGCTGGAATCTTATATTTGAAGGGGGTAGTGTTTTCTGTTTTTGTTTTGCTTTTTTTTTTGGCCAGTTCTGGGGCTTGGGCACTGTCCTTGAGCTTCTTTTTTTTTTTTGGGTCCGGTCCTGAGGCCTGAACTCTGGGCCTGGGCGCTGTCCCTGAGCTCTTCAGCTCAAGGCTAGCGCTCTACCACTTGAGCCACAGCGCCACTTCCAGCTTTTTTCTTTTTGCTTATGTGGTGCTGAGGAATTGAACCCAGGGCCTCATGCATGCAAAGCAAGCGCTCTACCACTGAGCCACCTTCCCAGCCCTCCCTGAGCTTCTTTTGCTCAAGGTTAGCGCTCTACCACTTGAGCCACAGTGCCACCCAGCTTTTTCTGTGTATGTGGTATTGAAGAATCGAACCCAGGGCTTCATGCATGCTAGGCAAGCACTCTACCACTGAGCCACATTCCCAGCCCTGGTGTTTGGGGTTTCTTTTTCCCCAGATAGGTGGTCTTACTGTGTAGCACAAACTAACTTAGAACTGATCCTCCAACCTCGTCCTCCTGAATACTGGGATTATAGGCATATGCTGCCACACCTGGCACTATTTCAGAATTCTAAATAATGTGTGGTGAAGTGGAGGCTTCCTGCTGTAATCTTTGTGTTGTTTATGAATCTGACATTACAAGGTCAACATGAAGTCCTTCCCCCTCTCCCCCCCAGGAGTCTCAAGTTTGCGTGCCAGGCAGAACTCTAACATGTGGCCACACCTCTTGCCTGGCTTTTTCTGGTTAATTGGAAATGGAATCTCAAGGACTTTTCTAATGAGGCTGGCCAAGAAAACTGTATTTTCATGTTATTCTGTAACTAGGAAAGCAAGAAAAAAAAAGTCAACTTTTACATTTTTGTTCATAGAGTTTATTCCTTTAATGCTGGAAAACTTTAAGGAAAAGATGACACTGTGTGTCTTTTTCCCTGTGGAATGGTTACATTTTCTCCAAGGACTAATTCTGAGTTAGTGCAACAGATAGGAAAATTGAACTAATTATGTGCAGCCAGGTCTTGGTGGTTCACACTTGTAATGCCAGATATTAAGGAGGCTAGATCTAGAGAACTGAGGTCCAAAGTCAGCTATGGCAGAAAGTCCATATGACTTTTTTTTTTTTTTGGTCAGTCATGGGGCCGGAACTCTGGGCCTGGGGGCTGTCCCTCAGCTCTTCAGCTCAAGGCTAGCACTCTACCACTTGAGCCACAGTGCCACTTCTGGTTTTCTGGTTGTTTATTGAAGAGTCTCACCGAGTTTCCTGTCCAGGCTGGCTTTGAACCGGGGTCCTCAGATCTTAGCCTTCTGAGTAGTTAGGATTATAGGCATGAGCCACCACTGCCCGGCTCCTATACGACTTTTATCTCCAATGAACCACAGGAGGCTCAGTTGGCAGAGCCCTAGCTTTGAGCCAAGAAAGTTTAGTGAGAGCATGAGGCCCTGAGTTCAAATTCTAGTATCATAAGAATAACAAATAAGCCAGCAAATGTGGCTCAGAGTTAGGGCATTTGCCTATCAGGCCCCAAACCTTGGGTTCAATGGGCATAAAAAGAGAAGAAAAATTTAAACAAGCTACATTGCTACCATGTCCTTAAAGTTAGCACGAAGGGAAAAATGGAAGGTCAGAACCAGGCTCAACTTGAACCAATGTGCGGGGTTGGGAACTGTGGAGGCTGTTCAGTTTTCCCACTGGGCAGAGGTGCTAAGGAGGCTGCTGTGTTCTACACAGGATTTCCAGCAGAGGGCGGTAGAGAGTCAGAGAAAAGGGCTAGTACAGTTCTGCTGTCCAGGCTGTTCCCTGGGCCTCTCTGGTCCCTGTAGGAGCAGGATGTACAGGTGCCAGCTCTGAGGGCAGCACGGAGCCCAGTAGACTCTGATCCAAGTGGCCAGTGTTGTAGGATTCAGAGCTGGCTGATGCCTTAGCAGAGCCTCGCTTCTCTTCCCAGTGATAGAAAATTTCCAGTCATGCTTTCCTGCCATTATGCACATAGTGGTTCAAGATGTGTCTACTGAGTCTTTGTTCCTTATGCTCAGAGCCCTGCCCCTGGTCCACACAGGAAGTCCCCCCGAAGACTCAGCCAAGGGCCTAGCCCAGTGCTGTGGGACCCAGAACTGATTCCATCAGGCCAGGCATGGAGGCTCATCCCTGTATTCCCAGCACTCCAGAGGCTGAGGTAGGAAGATCACAAGTTCAAGGCCAGCCTGACACAGTCTTCAAAACACCAAGGAAGAAAAGCATCTGCAGGTCTTCAGTGCACTGTGGTTCACACAGGGGCCTCTGTTTCTTCCCAAACAGCCTAGCCCAAGGTCCTGCATTTCTTCATTGGCAGAACTGTCAAATGGTCTTTTCAAGTCCGCTCTGCCATTCTGGCCTGTGCGATTTCCATGTGCTCTTTGTAACTTGAAAGATGGGTCTGGGGGCAGGGGAGTCTTTACATGGATTCCAAGGCTAGGTCCCCAATCTGTGGCACTATTGGGACATGGTGGCACCTTTAGGGGAGGGGCCTAATGGAAGGAAGTTAGGTCATGGGGGGGGGGCGGGCACGGACTGGAAGGAGCTATTGATTGGGACTCCAGCCCTTTGCTTCATCACCAAGTGCCTCGTGCGTACCATGAAGAGCCTCCTGCCACAGAGCCACGTGACCGTGGACTGAGCCCTCTGAAACCATCGGCCAATATAAACCTTTCTGTGCGGTAGGCTGATCATCTCAAGCACTGTGTCACAGTGCGTGGGAAGCTAACACACTGGGCTTACAGCCTGGCTGATCACATACAATGGCTTTGCACATACAATTCAGGTTGGTTTTCTCCAGCGCTCTCCCTCTCACCTGTTGATCAGGCCTCAGGGAAGTCATGTGACACCCCCTCCCCAGGCCAAGCCAGAGTCTGTCACGCCTCCACGTTTAGGATTCTAATCATAGTGCCAGAGGAAACCCGTCTATGCCATCAATTGTGATTACCCAGACTATTAATAGAATGTTTTATGAAGGCCTATTCCTCCCTCACTGCACTGTGAGTTCTGTGTGGGCAGAGACTGGCAGTTGGGATAGGCCTGGGACCTCCAAAACGGTGTGTTGAATTAATTTAATACAAACAAATGCACAACCAGGGCAAACAGTGAGGGAGACCTCGCCTTCCACAAGTCAGGGCTAGAAGTCTGAGGGGAAATCACCAGCTTGCTTGATTCCTGGCTCACGTGGGAAGCAAGAGGCACTGACCAGGAGAAGGAAAGGTTTGAGGTTTGATGTGTCCATCGGCCTCTTCCTCCCCTCTCCATCTTGAGGCTGAGATGAAGACGTTGGCCAGCCAGGCAGGAGCTGGTGGCTCACACTTGTAAATCGCAGCTACACAGGAAGGAGGCTGAGCTCCGAGGATTAAAGTTTGAAGCCGGCCAGGGCAGGAAGATCCGAAGATCCGTAAGACTCTGATCTGGAAGTGGAGCTGTGGGTCGAGGGGTAGAGCACCAGCCTTGAGCGGAGGGGAAAAAATGGTCTCAGAGGCAGCACCCAGGCCCTGAGTTCAAGCCCCAGCACGGGTACAAACAGAATGAAACAAAAGGCAGAGAGGGGCAGGAGTGGTGTGAGGTCCAGGGAGAGAAATCAGAGCTCTCTCCACGGAGTCCAGCATGACCAGGAGAGGGGTAGTGACAGGTGGGTGGCACGGGACAGAACCAGGCCCCAGAGGCAGCAGTCAGGTGATCATGGGGGGGGGCGGGGGGGGGGAAGGGGGGAGACACACAGACACACGCACCGGGCCCGGCTAGGCCCGCGGTCCGGGGTCTTGCTCGGGTTCGGTCCCCGGCACCCCGCGGATGTCCGGCAGCAGGCGACAGCCAGCCACGATGTCCAGGCGCTCGGCCAGCGCGCTGAGGTCCCCGCGCGCCAGGCGCACGCTGTGGGCGGCCGCCAGCCCCGCCGCCTGCGCGGCCGCCAGCCTCCCGGCCAGGGCGGCCACGTCGCGGCCCGCGCGGCGGTACACGCCGCTCACGGCGGCCGCCACGTCGTGGTCCAGCCGCGCCTGGCTCTCGGCCAGCCGGAGCTGCAGCAGCGAGCGCGCGGGCGCGGCGGCCGGGCTCTCCTCCGCCGCCCAGGCCTCGCCCGCCGCCGCCGCCGCCTCGCCCGCCGCGCCGCGCTGCACCACGAGCGGAGGCAGGTCCCCGGGCGCCGCCGCCGCCTCCGCCTCGGCCTCCGAGTCCGTCTCCGCCGCCTCCCCGGCGACCCGCAGCCCCGTGGGGCGGCCGCGCGTCGGCCCCGCCGGGCCCAGGTACAGCTCCTCCTCCGAGGACGACGCCGACAGCTCCGAGTCCGTCTCGGCCGCCTCCCCCGGCACCACCGTGCCCGGCCTCCGCCGACGACCCCGGGACGCCATGGCGCGCGGCTGGAGGGAGGGAGGGGGAGAGGGGCGAGGGGTCGGCGGGAAACCCGATTCCCAGGCTGAGGAATTCTCTACGTGAACGGCGGGGGGCGACGGCCGGGGAAACTGAGGCGCGGGCCCACCGAAGCTCCCCGGGCCCGGCTCCCAGGCTCTCTCCCACCCGAGCTCTTTCCGAATTTGCCTCCCACCACAGGCCACACCCTCCGCACCGCACACCCGGAAGCACGCGGGGAACCGTGGGGAGCCGCCCCACGGCCTGTCGCAGGAAGGACGGCCACAGCCCGGAGGGAGGACGCGCTCCCGCGGGTCCCGGATCCGCCGCGACCACCCCACCCCACCCCACGCCACGCCCAGGCCGTACCAGGTCTCCGAAGCTCAGACAACCTGCGAGGCGAGCTGCTTGGCGGAAGTGAAGCTTCACTGTGGGAGAGGGGCGGGCTACAATTCTAGCCAATAGGAGAGCAACAGGCTGGGTGGGCGTGAGCGACCAAGGCATGACGGACAGCTCAGCTACCAATCACGGTGGCAAGGTCTCAGTAACCGGCTTTGAGGGCGTGGAAGCAACGGAGTCACGTGAATTCAAGCGTGACCAATAGGGGGCAAGGGCTGGGTAGGTGCTTCGGTGTTGTGCTTCCAGAAACGTGCTGCAGTGGACAAATAGGGTTCTTGTAAACCTGAGGGTGTACGTGTCTATCATGATGCAGCCAATGGGAACGCTCGAGGACTCGGAAACGGCGAAGCCTTCTAGTTACGGGCGGAAGAAGCTAAGACGTTTAGCCAATGAAAGAACAGAGAAAGTCTTGAGTTTTTGTCTCACACGCTCACGCGTCCGCCGCGTGCGCCCATCGAGGAGGGCGGGGCTAGTTTAAAACACCAATAGGAACCGGAGTGGGCGGTTCACGGGAGGCGGGGCTTTTGAAACTAGACCAATTGGAGCTGGGGGCGCTGGGCGGTCGTTCGGCGCGGGAGTCTGGCGCATGGCGGACGCGGTTTTGTTCGAGTTTCTGCACACCGAGATGGTGGCGGAGCTGTGGGCTGCGGACCTCCACCCCGGCCCGGGGGTGAGCTCCGGGTCCTGGAAGGGTAGAGTGGGGGAGAGGCGAGGATCGGATCGTCAGGCCCGGGTGGAAGCTTCTTGGGGTGCGCGGGTTCGAACCCGCGGCCCGGCCTCTGGCTCTCCGGTTATTGCAGAGGTTGAGTGACGTGACTCAGGGTGAAGCCCTGGCGGTAATTATAATAATTGTTGAATCTGGGGCGCGAGGAGGGCTCGCCTCCACCACGCACGCACTCAGTGACTTAATCTTCGTGTTTGAATGACCTCGGAAAACGTGGACGTCGGGCAGCCCCGACCTCTCAGAGTGAGCGTCCTGGTGACCATCACCACGGTCATCGCGGTTCATGAATTCACCCGACAGACTTTGGCAAAGACCTGCAAGGAGGGCCGGTACTGGGGTTCAGGAGAAGGAGAAGCTTGGAGGACCGAGGCCAGAGTGGGCAAGAGCGTGACACCCTAAACACACACGGGCACACACACTAGGAAGCAAAAGATCTGGAGGGAGGGTTCAAGTGGTAGAGCACCTTGCCTAGTAAGCATGAAGCTCTAAGTCCAATCCTCAGTATTGCCAGGGGGCTGGGGAAGGGGAGAGGTCAGAGGAGAGAAATCTGTTTATGGCTTATACCTGTAGTCCTAGCTAGGAGGCTGAGATGAGGGTCATGGGTTTGAAGCCAGCCTATGCAGGAAACATCCATGAGACTGTGTGTGTGTGTGCGCGTGTGCGTGTGCTTGAACTCAGGTCTGCTCTTGCTTCGTAGGTGTTCTACTGCTGAGCCATGCTTTCAGCTACATCCTTGAGATTCTGATCCACCTGATTTCTCTGTATTGACCATTTGCCTGATTGACTGGGCTCCTAATGCCTTATCTGGTGGTTCCTTCATTGTGTCCTGTGGCTTGAACAAGCACTTCTTCTGTGACATCTGACAGGGACACCCATAATGTTACTTTTTTTTTTTTTTTGTCAGTAGTGGGGCTTGAACCAGGGCCTGAGCGCTGTTCCTAAGCTTTTTCCACTTCAGGCTAACACTCCACCACTTTTAGCCATAGCACCACTTCCAGTTTTCTAGTGGTTCATTGGTGATAAGAGTCTCCTAGACTTTTCTTCCTGGGCTAGCTTTGACTCATGATCCTCAGCTTTCAGCCTCTTGAGTAGCTAGGATTACAGGCGTGAGTCATCAGCACCCAGCTCTATTAGTGACATTTTAAAAAATTGAACTTCACAGTTGGCTGCTGTGAGAGCTGAGGATTGATGTTCAAAGCCAGCCCGGGCAGAAAAGACCCTGTGAAACTTTTTTTTTTTTTTGTAGGTTGTGGGGCTTGAACTCTGGACCTGGGTGCTGTCCCTCAGCTCTTCAGCTCAAGGCGAGCGCTCTACCACTTGAGCCACAGCACCACTTCCAGTTTTCTAGTGGTTAAGTGGAGATAAGAGTCATCCCAGGCTAGCTTTGAACCGTGACCCTCAGATCTCAACCTCTTGAGTAGCTAAGATTATAGGCAAGAGCTACCGGTGCCTCACTCCCGAGAGACTCTTTTCTCCAATGAACCACTCAAAAACTGGAAGTGGTGTGGTACTATGGTTCCACTGGTAGAGCTCTAGCCTTGAGCACAAATAGGCTCAGGGACAGTGCCTAGGCCCTGAGATCAGGCCCCACAACCAACAAAAAGAAAAATTTGAACTTTACTCCTTAAGATTGTTTGTTTTTTTTTTTGGGGGGGGGGGTCCGGTTGTGGGGCCTAAACTCTGGCCTGGGCGCTATCCCTCCCTTCAGCTCAAGGCTAGCGCTCTACCACTTATGAGCCACAGCGCCACTTCCAGCTTTTTTTTTTTTTCTTGCTTATGTGGTGCTGAGGAATCGAACTCAGGGCCTCATGCATGCAAGGCAAGCACTCTACCACTGAGCCACCTTCCCAGCCCTCCTTAAGATTGTTTAGGCAGGTATTCTACCACTTGAGCCATAAATCCTGGTTGTGTTTCTCGTAGATGGTTTTTCAGATAGTCTCACGCTTCTGCTCGTGCCAGCCTTCAACCAAAACCTTTTGCCTCTTGAGTAGCCGAGACAACACGCAAGCTGTGTCAATGTGCTTGACTTGCTGTAGAGATAGGATCTCACTAGCTGCCTCTGCCTCTGCCCTAGCCGGCCTCTGGATCTCTGCCTGCCAAGTAGCTGGAATTACAGGCATGAATGAGCAACGTGTCATTTCCTAAACAATACAGTATAACAACTATATACATATAATTTGTCTTGTAAATGTCTTAGTACTTGATGCTATGCAAATGCTATGGAATATGAAATCTCACCAGTCATTTGCATTATAATCATTTAGATCTGATTTACAGTCTGTGGAAGGGCTGGGTGTTGGCTCTGGGTTAGAGGGTTTGCCTAGCAGGTGAAAAGGTCTTGGGTTCCAACCCCAGCACTGCAAAAATTAAAATGTCCAGTCTGTGGGAGACTCTGTAGGTTCTGGGCACACACTAATTCCTATGAAGGGCCTGAGCCTCCTTGGATTTTTATCCTGGGGTCCTGAGGGAGAAAGGTTTTATCTGCGTCCTTAAAACCAGCCTCCAAGATGGCTATCGTTGTCCTCAGTTTTGTGTTGTAACAGGATCTGACTATGTAACTAACCCAGGCTGGCCTGGAATTCAGCAATCCTGTCTCCACCTCCTGAGTGTTGGGATTACAGGCATGTGCTATCATGCCTGCCTGCCTTTTATGAAGACGGGGCTGGAGCTAGGAAGAGGAGAAGGGTCTTTTCTGAGGCCACACAGGATTGACCAGTCAGAGGCAAAATGAAAACCCCAGTTGCCCAGGTGACTAGGGAACTGTCCCCCACCTGGATCCTGTCCTTGAAGGGGTCTCCTCCACACCATGATGTCCTTTCCTTTCCCTTGGGAAACAGTTGTGGTGCACCCCAGAAAAGCCTTTGACTCCGAGCCAGGCTCTAGCCTATTCACAGGAATGGGAGAGACCCTGCCTTGGACTTTCTGGGAGCATGGCAGCCCCCCCCCCCCCCCCCCCAGTCCCTAAGAGCTTTGCAAGGACTTGTCAGCAAGTTCTGGTTTTCTTTCTGTGAGCTTCCAGGGGTAGTGAGGCGACTGGGGTGAGGCAGGGAGGAGGTGCTCCCCCTCTTCCTTCTGTCTCTGCCCCTCTCCATGGTTCCCCCAATAGCAGTGACCACAGCTCACCGCCACCGCAGGTAGTGAGCCCCACTGCATGTGGGGAAACTGAGACACGGGGCCCTGAGATAAGCTGCCCCAGGATCCAAACTCATTGTCAGTGGGCATTGTTGGGGTGCCTGTCACCTCACTGAGGCCTGGCAGATGAGCCCTTGGAGGACAGAGAAATTCTCTGGCTTGCTGGGACAAAGAAGAGAGCCTCTCTGCACAGGGTGCCACGGGGTGCTGGGTACAGAGCCCCAAAACTCAGTCTCCCCGCCAGGGTTCTCATTCCTCTAATGGCTGCTGCTGGAGAGGTGGCCAGGGGCCCCTGAGTCTCTCCCCCCCCCCCCTTCCCCCCGGCCTTGTAGGGACAGAAGACCAGCCTGTCTGTCCTGGAGGGCATCGGCTTCCGTGTGGGCCAGGCTCTGGGTGAGAGGTGAGCGCCCTCCCCGCCCCCCCTCCACTGGCTCTGCCCCTAACCCACACCCCCCAGCATCAGCGAGGCCCACCTGCCCCCCTCCGCCAGGCTGCCCCCGGAGACCCTGGCCTTCAGGGAGGAGCTGGATGTCCTCAAGTTCCTGTGCAAGGACCTGTGGGTAGCTGTGTTCCAAAAGCAGATGGACGGGCTCCGCACCAACCACCAGGTTGGGGGTGCTGGGAAGAGTGGGACCACCCCCTCTCCCCTTCCAAAGACAGCTCCCCCTCCTTCCCTGTGGGGAGCTAGCGCTGCACAGTGAGCACCAGCATGGCCTGGGCGGCAGCCCTGGGTTAGGGGGCGTGGCCGGGTGGGCGTGGCCCGTGGGGGCGTGGCCCAGGCCCCTTGTCCCTGTTCCCATTGACAGCCTAGGCTGCCTTGGTGGGTCAGTCAAGCCCAAGACAGCCTCGGGCCCTCGTGCAGTTCTGAGGATTGAGCCCCACATGGGGGTACCATGCAGGCAGGAGTGGGCGGGGATGGGACCCCCATGGCCGCTCCTCTGCCTCCAGGGGACTTACATCCTGCAGGATAACAACTTCCCTCTCCTGGTGCCCATGGCCTCCGGCCTTCAGTACCTGGAGGAAGCACCCAAGGTATGGGGGTGGGAACATGCCCTTCCCATCCCCTGTCTGCCTCCCCCACCCCATGTTAGGCCTCTCCCAGGCTGGGGACCTGGGTGCTGGCCTCTCCCTCTCCCCACAGTGGTCTGTGTCCTCCCCGCCCCCACCCCAGTTCCTGGCGTTCACCTGTGGCCTTCTGTGTGGCACACTGCGTACCCTGGGCGTCCAGAGCCTGGTCACCGCCTCCGTGATCACCCTGCCTGCCTGTGAGTGGGGGGGGGAGCCCTTGTCCTCTGAGTGTGCTGGGGACTGGGGGGTGGGGGAACCCAGAGACCAAGCCCCAAGGGACAGACGGAGAAGGAGAAGTTGAAGCTCAGAGATCTTTTTTTTTCTCCAGCTCAGGCTGGGAATAAATTGTGTGGCAATTCCCCAACATTTCCTCCAGCACAGAACCTAGAGGCGGGGAACACCTCCTGGGGTGGCTGGTATCAGGGTAGGTGGGTGGGAAGTTGGGGCCCACCTGGTGAATGTCCTACAGGTCCCCCCCCCCAACTGATCAGCCAGAGTCCCTTTCCTGCCAAGGGCAGCCTGTGAGAAGCTCCCTCACTTCCGGTCCCCTGGTGGGGTCTGGTGGGCGGGGCCTGCACAGAGCCCAGCCACAGAGGCCTGGCTGGCTCCACCCCGCCGCCCACACAGCCCAGGTGCAGGCCAGGTGTGGGGTGGGCGGGCGCAGCACACCCCCCTTTGATCCACTCACCCATCATCCTCTTGAGGTGTGTGGCCTGGGCCACCCAGGCTGCCAGTGCAGGGCAGGGGTGAAGTCTGAGCTGGGTGGGTGCCCTCTGCCCCCCCCCATCCTAACCTCCAGGTAAAGCAGCCTTATCTCCCTTCCAGGTAGGTTCCAGGTGGTGATCCTCAAGTCCTGATGAGCCCAGGCTGCCCAGCCCCCCACCTCCCGGGAGATGGTCCGGTCTGAGCCCAGCCATCCAGCCCTGAGCTGCACAGGGGGGGGTGGGGTTCTTAGGGCTGCTGGTTTCCAGTCCCGGGGGCCCATACAGTCGGGGCTGTTACCGAGGGACCTGGGTGTGTCATGCTGGGTGGCAGGCGCTCAATAAAGATTCTTTGTGTGGAATCAAAAGTAGAGCGCACTGTCCTGACCCCCCCTGTAACCTCTCCGTCCGCACCCCGCTCCCCAGCCTCTCCCAGGCTCTCTGCTCGTCACCCAGCCCAGTACTGCCCTTGGCATGGTGAAGGGCACCGGAGCCCCTCCCTGGGGATCATGCCAGGCACCCGCCTCATGCCCACTTCCCAACCCCACTCCCCATCTTCCAAGAGCCCCCTCGCCACCTCTGCCCACCCAGCCACCACCTCAACCTGAGCGCGGGGCAGTGGCGGGCACAGTGGCCCGCCACACACATCCCGGGCCTGGGCTTGCTACCCCTGCCACCCCCGGGGGCCGGGGGGGGGCTGGGGGGGGACGAGGCTCAGCCCTGGCCAGACCTCTAAGGCAGGCCATACCGAGTTCCTTCGCCCGGCAGACCACACCACTGGTGAAGGGACATCTTATCCTGACACGCCAGCCACCGTGGGCAGATGACCCTGGACGGCAGTGGGGGGGGGGGGAACGTGGTGCCAATGCCTCCCCCTCCGAGGCAGGAGAGCTTTTGCCTTCAAGTCTCCACTCTGTGTGGCAAGCGGTCTCCCACCTCTGCCTCAGTTTCCTCATGTGTGGTGGGCAGGGCCGCAGCTGTGGGCTGGGCTGAGGGCACAGGTCACCGGGTGACCAGGTCCCGGGGCTGCTCCACGCGTGATCTGTCGCTGGGGTGATATTCCAAGCATCCCAGGTAACTGGGTCAGCGGCTGCCACTGCTAAAGGCCCTCCTGACAACCTGGGGAGGCAGGCCCCCGCCTGGCCCACTCAGCAATGAGGAAGCCGAGGCCCAGAGAGGTGAAGTCATTTGCCTAAGGTCACATAGCCTTAGCTGTGGATCTCCATCCTCCCCTGTCGGGCCCCTTGACCTCCATCAAGAGTGTCCAGACGCCAGGGGCCGGCCCAGTGGCCAAGGGGTAGGGGCCTAGCTGGCTTTGTGTCTCCATCATCCCTCTCCCGGGGTACAGCGTGCCCTGTTGGGGTGCCAGTCCTAGAGAGCACCAGGCCAGGCGGCTGCCAAGGGGGGTGGGGTCAGGCTGGCAAACCGGTCAGGCGGGCGGGGCGGGCGGGCGGCGCGGGCACCTGCTGGGCCTGCGCTGATAGTTGTGGGGCTTGCCGGGCAGCTCAAGGCCACAGGCAGGGAGCTGGGGCCGCGAGGCCGCCGCCGGGTACGTAGCCCGACCCTGGGCCAGGGGAGGGGGCAGGCAGGGCTCCCACCCGGCCTCCAACCCTCACCAACTCTGGTCTACCCTCCCCCCTCGCCCCCAGCCTCATCTGTCGCTGAAGGCCCACAGAATTCCCTTCCTCACCCCGGCCATGCTTCCATCCTCTTCTCTTCCAGCCTGTCCCCCCCCCTCCCCGGGTTTGCTGAGCTTCCCTGTGAACTAATCTGCCCATGTTTCAAGGCTCCCCGAGATCTACCCTCCCTCTACCTGCTGTGTTCAGCCCTTGAGGGTACAGGGCTCACCCTCCGCTGCTCCCTGGTGTTCCCCAGCCCCCCCCCCCCGTGGACCCCCATTTCCCCAGCGCTCATCTGCTCCGTACTCTTCAGTCCCAGCATCACCCCGACACCCCAGTGGTTACCCGTCTCCCCTTGGGTACCAATTCCCTTGGGTACCCATCCTGGTGGCTCAGAGACTCAGGACGGGGTCCCTCACCTGTGCAAGGCCACACAGGGCCATCCCGAGGCAAGGCAGGGACTCAGCCCTTAGCCCCCCTCCCCGACTCCTGCCCCCCAGGGGCCGGGCGCTGAGACGGTCCTGTGCGTCCCTGGCCTAGGCACAGGCCCCGGACACCACCGCCCACCATGCAAAAGCACTACGCAGCCCAGTTCACCAAGGGCGCCCGGACCTCTGCCGAACGCTGCTTCTTGGATCCTGAAGTGGGTCATCAAAGAGGTAAGGGTTCAGTTTTTTGGGGGAGAGGATGGCAGAGAGAGCGAAGCCTAAGGGTGCATCGTAGGTGATGGAGAGGCAGAACTTTCGGCTCAGGGGTCAAAAGTCACCTGTAGAGGCTGTGTGTGTGTGTGTGTGTGTGTGTGTGTGTGTGTGTGTGTGTGTGTGTGTGTGTGTGTGTGTGTGTGTGTGTGTGTGTGTGTGTGTGTGTGTGTGTGTGTGTGTGTGTGTGTGTGTGTGTGTGTTTCCCAAGCTGGGCCCAGACTCCCAAGAAGCTGGAGACGCAGGTGCCCGCCTGTCCCTGCTGTGTGGCAGGGACAAGGACTGGGGGGTGGGTCTCAGTCAGGGTCTGGGGGGCCAAACATGGGAGCCTGCTCTAGGAGAGGAGCAGGGAGGTTTGCTCCAAATCCCCAGGCTTGGGCGACAGCCCCCATGTCGGGGAACAGCCCAGGGAGAGGGGGAGGGGAATGGATGTGGGATGCGGAGGGGCCATGGCCTGGTCCAGCCCCCCCCCGGAGTCCTGCGGGCTCCTGACCACGAGGGCCAGCATCTCCTTGCAGCCCAGCCTGAACCCACCCCCTCCCTCTCCCTGGTTATCCCCCCCTCCGTGGCCACCGCCAGTCCCCTGGCCTCCAGCCAGAGCCTCCCAAAGGAAGCAAGACAGGACATGAGGATGGCAGGAGGCACAAGTCTTGAGTGGGGCCTGTGTCCTCTCCCACCCTCACCCGGCTGACCACCCCCCCGTGCTGGGAGGGGGTACGGCCCCTTCTCTGCCATACCCTCCTTGCTGATGTCCCTGACTTGCCCCCAAATACTCCTCCAACACAGCCTTCACCTGCACGCTCAGCCTGATTGGTGCCAGTGCCCACCCCCAGGGCTCGGGGGGCCCAGGCCCAGTCACCCCCACTTCCTTCCTTCCAGGATGCTGTCACCGGTCACGTCAGGACCCTGCGGCGCCTCGAGCCCATGGGCCCTGTCGGCCGTCCCCCCAGTCACACTGGCAGCAGGCCTACCACAGACACCGGGGGGGCAGCAGCTGGCACCGGGGCCCCCTGTCCCCGGTTCTGCAGCAGCAGCAGCAGCAGCAGCAGCGGCGGCGGCAGCCCCCGCCCCCCAGCCCCCTACGGCAGCGCATCTGCCCAGTGCACGGGGCCCCGAAGGGGCTGCCCACAGCCGCCACCACTCCCCCGACACCTGTCAGCGCCCCCCAGCTGCCCCCCAAACCCACCACGTCACCCAGTGCAGCACCCAGCACGACCAGCAGCGGCCCAACAGAGCCCTTGGCACCCGGCGCCCTCCTGGAGCCCAGCGAACCCACAGAAGCCCGGCCCCTGCCGGCGCCCGCAGCCTGCGGCTCCTTCACCTACGGCGCCGGTGCCCAGCCAGGCTTTTTGGGGGGCTCCTGCCTCGCTTTGCCTGGGCCTCTTGCTCCCTGACTGGTGCCTGGTTAGGGCCTGTCTGCATTCCCGCACTCTGGTCCCTTTTGGGGGGGCGTGGCTGGGTCCTAGGTGGTCACCTCTGCCTCCCCCCCCCGTTGGGCTCATGGCTTCTGGGCCAGGCCTGAGCCTGTGTCCCCTTCCTGTCCCTCTGCTCTGCTTTCTCTGTCCCCAGCCGCCCTCCCTGTCTCCCTTGACCCAGGAGGCCAAGGGAAGGCCACGGGGCAGGGAGGTGGCAGCACTGACCGGGGGCAGCTTCTTGGCCTGCTCAGGGGTGGGGGAGATGGGTGAAACATGGAGGTACAGGAACGGGGGTACAGGGCTGGCTGGGGGAGGAGCAGGGATTCGCAGGTCCGCTCAGCGCGGGGCAGGCAGGGAAGCTGCCACACGTGTCTTCGTGGAGCTGTGTTGGGGGTGGGGGTGGGCACCAGGTAAGTGGCAGTGTACAGAGGTGACACCGTGTGACCCGCACAGGGAGAGGTAGGGACGGCAGAGCTGCACATGAGACTGGCCATTGGGAGGCAGGGGCAGCCGAGGCCCCGAGGGAGCTTCTTCCAGGGCAGCCCTAGATGGCAGGACCTCTAGATGGCTCCCAAGCCAAGGAGAGATGTATGCTGACTTGGGGTGTAACACAGAGAGAGGGGGCCCAGGCAGGTGCCTGGCAAGCCGGCAGCGGCTGAGTAGAGCAGGAGGTGCTGGCGGCCTGGGCAGGGTGGCGGCGTGGAGGTGGGGACAGAGTTGTTTTAAGGTCTGGTTTGACGGTAGCGTGACATGCTGGATGGGGACGCAGGTCTAGATCAGGCACCATTGTTCCTGGAGCCCTGGGGCCAGGATGTCCATTTCACGCAGGAAAATAGAGGCTGAGTAAGACCAGGTCACCCATCATTGATGAAGCGTACCTATTGATTAGGTCCACCCTGGCCACCTCAGATGACCTCCATCTTCCTAGCAGGTTCCTTCTAGGTGCCTCGGGAAGTGGGGGGTTACAACCCTCCCTCCCCTCCCCCATGACTGAGCCTTAACTTTCCTTCACCCCAATTCCACACCCAGGGACGGATGATGTGGCTGGCCTGTCCCCTTGTCTGGCCTGCTGTCTTCTCGTGGTCTCTCAGAGGTCACTTCCCGTACCCCTGCAGAGAAAGTTGGGGGGGCTAAGTTTGAAAGTCAAAGTGCATCTGTTACTGGCAGGGCAGAGGCCGGGAGGGAGCCGGGGGAGGACAGGAAGGAGTACAAGAGAGGCAGGAGGACTCAGGATATTGGGGGTCAGGCTAGCAGAGTGGTGATTTGGAACAGTAGGAGCTGTGGGGGGAGGCAGGAAGGCTTCCTAGGCCAGCTGAACCCCACAACCTCCAAGGGTGGCATGGCCAGCCTGCCCGCTTCGCTCAGCCCAGGGGACCCCGGGTCAGCTTCCTCCCTGGCCACACATGGCACATGTGTGAGATAAGAATCCTCCATGGTGACCTGAGTCACCTCTACCTGTCAGGCAGAGGATGCTGAGGCCTGGCGGGGCTGGATGTGGGGCCAGGGGAGGGCAGATGGGAGGAGGGAGGGTGGCACCCAGCCAGCCTCACTGACTCAGTTTCCCCACCCCGCCCTTCAGACATCCTGACTGAGGATGATGTCTA